GTATGACCTTTAACCCCTAATACTGCCAATGCTATTGGAGCTAAAGTTTTCAAAAAAATCTATAGTCAGAGTTTCCCCTCTAGCTCATCATCCGAGACGTGTTTGGTGCCTGAAGTTTGCTTCTTTAGTTTTAGCACTTCTAAAGGCTAATGTAGTTAACAACAAATGAAAGCTAATCAGTTAGCTAAAACTCAAAGCATGTGGAGTTGTTCAGTATCTCTAATAGACTTGATTATGTGATTTTTGACACTGTATGATACGCTGTTATGCATGTTCTACAAAACTTGGTAGACCGGTACACCTGAACGTAAACAAATATTGAAAGACCACTGTTGATAAACTCTGACCTCCTTTCAGTTTGTTCTCTTTACCTGTAAATAAGGACCAAACTGCATTAGGCCTTGCTAGGCCCAGTTGTCTCAACTCAAGGACTTACTGTGCTGTTGTGTGCTTGGACCCACTTATTGCCACTCGCGGCTATATTTTGTATTTTTTTTGAGAACAAATATGTATATACGTCTTAAACTGAATTCACTTTTGCAATTTTTCAGTTTTTTGCAGTATATCTAGTATCTATATCTAATCTATATATATCTATATTTAAATGTGGAAACCTGAGTGGGTGTGGCCTAACTTAGAACTGGAACTACACATAGATCAGTAGGAGGTCTTCTGAGGCAGGTTTGCCATGTTTGCACTGTTAGTTGACATTTGGTCACATGGATTTCAGTTAGTTAGCGTAGCAGCTTCATGAATATCAGCTTTGCTCTTTTGTTCTGGCTCAAAGAATGAATGTATCAGTCTCAGTGTTGGTTTCACCCAGTTTACAGATGTTTTTCTCAAACATTTTTTCAATTCCTAGCATGTTTGGGCATGAAATTTAGCTCTAAATGTACTTTTTTGATCATTTGAGTTGATATCTGTTGACTTTCTCAAAGTGCACCAGATGAATATGTAGAAAATCCTCATAATGATGATGTTTTCTGTGAACACATCGGGCCATTACTGATCTGCCGGCTTTGTCCTGATTCACGTCTGTTTTGATAATGGCCCAGAATGTGTGAATGTGTGCTTATCAGTAATGAGGAGGCCTGCTAACAATGTCTTTTTGTCATCAGTTCTTGTTGGAATTCGCATTATAGACAGTTTCTGGTGGAAAATTGGGCCGACCTTCAGGCTTGCTTTGAAAAACGGTGGGTAGAAAGTTTCCTTAAACAAGACAAAACATTCAAGTATTGGAAGAAAAGGTATACAGTGAAGCATCACTAATTAGAGCAGATTACCTTCCAATTACCAGAGGCATGTATGTTTTATGTCTATTATATTTGGCTACATGGTGTTTTTTATTGTAAACATTCTCCAAACTGCAACCCTATTATAACCCTCAGCTTTGTGAAGCTAATGATGCGTGGTTTAGGTGGACATTGAGACAGGTTTAAATTTAGCCCTGTGGTCATTTTTAGGCTGTTGTGTGGTGGTGGTTTAGTTATTTATTTATATATTCACCCATTTCAAGCTGCTTGTTTAAGTGTCCTGTCAGCTTTCAGCTGCGTTTTCCTCTTTTCCTCAGCCAGCTTTGCCTTGTTGAAGATCATAAACTTTGACAGGAATGTTTCTCGACAATTTTTCTTTCGGATTTTGCCGTTTTTGGAATTGGACTGGACAATGTGTTTGCTACCTTTTGTGATTTGTTAGCACATACACTATGTTTCTCAGTAGTTCTCAAACTTAATTAGTTTTATCAAATTATTGTGTTAGTTAATTGAGCTTATTTTAAGAAAGAATACCTGAAGGCAGATACTGTCACTTAATTTTACTCTAGATCATTCAATACGTAAAAATATCTAGAAATAGTGGCTCTAATTGAAGACTTCAGACTTTCTCAGATTTTTATGGATTCTGATGTGCGTTGGATCTGTCTCAGTAGTATTTGTACTCTGACTTGCCTTAGACTCAATAGTATTTGTGCTCTGACTTGTCTTAGACTCAATAGTATTTGTACTTGGCCTTGTTTTGGACTCAATAGTATTTGTACTCAAACTCATCTTGGATTGTGTGGTATTTGTAGAATTACTTATTTCGGACTAAATAGTATTTGTACTCTGATTTTTTTTGGACTCAATAGGACTCAGTAGTATTTGTTTCGGACTTGTTTTGGACTCGATAGTATTTGTACTCAGACTCATTGTGGACTCAATAGTATTTGTACTCGGATTCGTCAAGGACTCAATAGTATTCGTATTCAGACTCATCTTGGACTCAATAATATTTGTACTCGGACTCGTCTTGGACTTAATGGTATTTGTACTCTGACTCGTCTTGGATTCGATAGTATTTGTACTCAGACTTGTCTTGGACTCAATAGTATTTGTACTCAGACTTGTCTTGGACTCAATAGTATTTGTACTTGGTCTTGTTTTGGACTTTGTAGGATTTGTACTCGGACTTGACTTGGACTCGATAGTATTTGCAATCTGACTGTTTTTAACTCAGTAGTATTTGTACTCGGGCTTATCTTGGTTTGATCCATCAGTTTCATTAACTTTAGTCTCTGGTGTCAACTGAGACCAACTACAAACTAAGAAATTTGGACTGGAAACAGACAAAAAAGACTAGTTAATCTTCGTCTCAATGATGGCTTGATTTTTTAGGTCTTGATATTAACTTAGTCTCGGCCACTTTGGACTCAGTCTGACTCCATCAACTAGTCATAGTCTTGGACTTGTCTTGGACGCAACAAAGGTGGTCTTGACCATAACCCTAAGAAAGAGGGTCAATAATCTTGTGATATTCTTTTTTCCAATCTCATCACCAGTCAACATAACATTTTTTATTTATTTATTCACTACAAAATACTATTTTGCCTGGAGTGTCCATTCATGGTGAATTAGTGAATTAGCTCCAAGGCTAAAGTTCTCACTGTTTCCTCTGTGTTATTCTGATCATAATTGTAGTGGATGCTAGACTGATACCTAATAGCATAATGGACAGAGGCTGTTTGTGGTGTCCAGTCTGAAATCAGCTCTTGGCCGGACACTCTGTGCACTGAAGCACTTACAGTTGATCCTAAAAACACTCACTTCAGCTGCTAAGTTTCAGCGACGTTATCATTTCCATTTTCCACTTGGATATTTATAGCTCTTAGATATGCTGGAGAAGGGACTTCTGGGTAACTGAGCCTTTTTTTACACTCTTGGATCATTTTTTACCACGGTGAAATATAGAGGGCATCTGAGGGCATCCAGGAGCCCAAAATTAACCCTTTGGTGACCCTGAAAGCCTCAGAATAAAACTTTCTGGGGATCCCTTCATAGGAACAGACCGAAATGAAAGTGTAACCATGACTACATCATAAACATGTTTTGTCCTGAGTGTATTTTCTGGTTTAAAGACTAGGAAAACCACATTCTGATGATGTATCCTGGAGGTGGAAGGAAGTACAACTGCTTTGGAGTGGGTTCAGTTAGCTGGTAACTGCAGATGTAAGGCGGATGGCTAAATAACTACTAGGAAGCTGAATATCTTATTCAAATAATCTCAAATCATCTTCAAATCATCATGACAATGTACAGAATGGACAGAATTCAAAGCACTAGACATCTTACCTCAGTTTATCTTCTTTTCTCTGTCTATAAGACTAAAAAGCTTGTCTCTGTTGTCCATTTAGAGCTGAAAAAGATAGAATCTTTATTATCTTTGTGATTTAGTTTGATGGCCAAAGTCACGAGAGTTACACTGATGCTAGCTTGGTTGTATTCATTTATTTAGCTTACAGGCAGCTAGACTAACAATTAGGACTGGTTAATACCAAAGGGTTTCCCAATGGCTGTATGGGAAAAATGCTTAACCCCTTAGGCTTATTACATACTAAGGCATATTATTCAGTAACTACACGGACTTCGATACAAACTGGTTGAGCTATTCTTAGGTTATAGAAGTGTGTAATAAAACTTCGGACCACTCGGCAGGCCCTGGCCATGTTAGGGGCTAATCTAAAATGGACTTAAATGTTCAAATGCACAAGCATTAGCTTAGTGCCAACATACTATTAGAAATCTCATAGAGGTGCTAGCAGAAATTAGCATTATGGTTTCCTCATTGTTCTTGAGTTTTGACATATATCAGCCAAACTGAAGGCCCAGCTCTAATGGTCACGCCTACAAAGACCTACAGAATGACTTTGTAGGTGGAGCCTGGATAGGTCAGTTACGTAGGCTGTGTTCAAACGCCGCTATAGAGGCAGAATTTGCCGTTTTTCAGCCTGCAGCTGGATTTAGCCCTCAGTGGCCGGTGTTGGAGTCACTGCTGCAAACTCACTGCTCTGTTTTTTCTGAGGGAAGTAGGCTGTGGAGCAGAAGGCCAGCGCTAACCTATTTTTCCTCCTCCGAGCTTGCGCGTGTGCGTATCACTGCAGCTCGATTCATCACTCGTCTCTCCCTGTCTACCGCCGTCTTCCTCTTCTACCTCCTCTGCTCTCTCTTATTCTTTCTCTCTCCCGCTTTCTTCATTCCTCCATGCCTTCTGACAGGTCTCCCACCCCTCTACACACACTTTCTTTCTTTCTTTTGACGAGCGTTCCGCCAGGCCGGGGGTGAATATGTAAGGGGAATTTGTGTCTACCTGTTCCGCTTAGAGCTTAGAGATTACAGAGAGAGAGAGACAGAGAGAGAGAGAGAGAGAGAGAGAGAGAGAGAGAGGGAGGAAGAGAGAGCAGAGAGAATGAAGGAGAAATATGGGGAGAGTAGAAAGAGTGAGTGAGAGAGTAAAGGGGAGAAAAAGAAACAGAGGGCAGAGAAAGAGAGATTGGTAAGAGAAAAAGAGGGAAAATGACAGAATGAGACAGGAAAAAGGAGAAAGAAAGAAGAAACAGAGGTAGATGAGGGTGAGAGAGACAGAAAAGGAAGTGCGAGAGAGAAAACGGGAGAGAAATAGTGGAAGAGTGAGGTAAAAGAGAGAAAAAGAGAAAGGAGAAAAGAAAGACGGATGCAAAGAGAAAGAAG